GGTAGTTGTACACCTGGGTGACGAAGTCCTCGCCAAACTCTTGCAGGATCTTCTCGTCGCGCTCGGCCTGGGCCTTTTCCCGCTGCAGCCGCTCGCCGAGGCCGTTGAGACCGTTGCCCATGTCGGCATCGCCGCCTTTGCGCTCTTCGGCACCGTTCTGGTGCTGATGGTGCTGGTGCTTGGGATGCAACTGCGGCTGTGGTTGGGGTTGCTGCTGCTGCTGCGGCTGGTGAGCGGAAGAGCCCCAGAGCCCGCCGGTGCTCGACGTCAGGCCCGACGACGCAGAGTCGGACGAGGAGAAGATGGACGCGGGCTCCTCGCTGATGACGCTGGTGACGCTGGCGTCGACGACATCACATGAGCACTGCGTGTCCGGGAAGCTGGGGTGGGTGGGCGTCTGGATCAGTTTGGGATTGTGCAGATCCGGGGGCACGATGCATCCTCCGGTTGATTCCGACCTGCAGCAGTACCCCCTCCAGAGCCCGGCCTGGCCCGGCACCTCCCGCGCGCGGTCCTCAATCATGTGTCCTTCAAAGGTGTCCTCGGGCTCGAGGGTGGTGAACTTGGGCGACGGGCATCGTCGAAAGACGAGGTCCTTGCCCAGCATGGGGGGAGACGGGCCCTGGCGCAACTTAAGCAGCTTGGGGTCGGGATCGGGAACATGTCGGAAGCCTCCAAACGGCTTGCCAAAGGGCCCAGGTTCCTGGCGGCCGGGGCGGGGCTCAGCCGGCTGGGCTGAAGGATCCGTCTGGGGGGACGAAGCGACGAGCTTGGCCTGTGCCTGGGCTGCGGCGCGATTGGCCTCTGCCAGCGCTAGCTGGAGCTCGGCCACCGATGACCGGCGAGAGTCGGTTGGCAGCAAGGGCTTGGTCGTGGTCCACAGGAGATCGGGAGGGGACGGCAGCTCCATCTTGTCCAGATCAGAGTCGGATCGGATGAGGGGGCTGTCGGCAGTGGCAGCAGTGGCACCGGCAATAGGCTGCGGAGAAGCAGCAGCAGCAGCAGCAGCGGCAGCATCGAGGTCATCCTGCATCACCACTGCTACCTCGTCGTCCACGTCCATGCCGTCCCCTCTGTCCTGCTCCAGCCGCGCCGCATGCTCCTGCATGTGCTTATGCCACCAGTTCAGCCCCAGGTTGGACGATTTACGTCGGAAGCGGTACTGGCCGGCCTCGTCGTC